GAGAGAGAGAGAGAGCAGAGATAGAGGCAGAGAGAGAGAGGCACAGAGAGAGAGGCAGAGAGAGAGAGAGGCAGAGAGAGAGAGGCAGAGAGAGAGGCAGAGAGAGAGAGAGAGAGCAGGGAAAGAGAGGCAGAGACAGAGAGAGGGCAGAGAGAGAGAGAGAGACAGAGAGAGCAGAGAGAGAGAGAGAGAGGCAGCTCAGTCACACTTAAATCCTGATTCGTCCTCAACGAGTCCCACCACCAAGGGAGCGCCAGCAAGGAGATGCACATATGGGGATCCCCACGCAGTGAATAATTACAATCAGGATGGGAGGGCCCGCAGCCCGCATGGACGTCCGCGCGCGATGTGCGCCGCGTCCCATTCTTGCCACATATTTCGCACCGTCGGCGACAAGGAAGCCATCTGAGAGGAAAATAGGGAGACGTTGTATTGATTTTTTACACTCAGGATGGGCGGGCCCGGGTTGACGGCCGCGCGCACGATGTGCGCCGCGTCCCATATGTGCGCCGCGTCCCACTGTTGCCACATATTTCGCACCGTCGGCGACAAGGCAGGCCATGCTGAGATGAAACATGGAAGACTTTGTATTGATTTTTTTACAGTCAGGATGAGCGGGCCCAGATTGACTGCCGCGCGCGATGTGCGCCGCGCCCCATTCCTGCCACGCTTTTCGCATCGTCGACGACAAGAAAGACGATGTTGAGAAGAAAAATGATATTTTTGCATTTTTTTTTTTTTTTTTTTTTCGAATCCGGATGGGAGGTTCCGGATTGGGTCGTTATCGGCCGGAATACGAGGTAGGTGGGGGTATATTCAAATAAGGAACAAGGATCAGGGGGGGTTGTGCCGGGGGGAAGTGGGGGGGTCCAGCAGGGGGGGGGATTTCGCGGGTTCCGGAGGAAGAGGGCGGAAATTTTCCACAGTAAAGCGGCGGTAGATCACGTTTTTTTTTTTTCCCCCAAAACAGCTTGCTGAACGGGGTGCTGTTGTGATAGAAGCTATTTCCGGCCGAGGGAAATCAAAGCAGAGACGTCCTCAACAAAAATTTGGTGTTCCGGGCCGTTTCGCTTGAGACATCCTAGCAACTCTCGTTTCTGAGTTGTCCGGGATTGGACGTTTCGCTTGAGACATCCTCCAAATTCTGAGTTCCCAGATGCCGCGCGAGAGGTGGTCCGGCCCGTTTCGCCTGAGACATCTTCCGAACTCTGAGTTCCCAGATGCCGCGCGAGAGGTGGTCCGGCCCGTTTCGCCTGAGACATCCTCCAAACTCTGAGCTCCCAGATGCCGCGCAAGAGGTGGTCCAGCCCATTTTCGCCTGAGACATCCTCCAAACTCTGAGCTCTGAGATGCCGTGCGCGAGGTAGTCCGGCGCGTTTCGCGTGAGACACTCGTAATTCTGAGTTGCGAGATGCCGCGCAAGAGGTGGTCAAGCACATTTCGCCTGAGACATCCTCGAAACTCTGGGCTCCGAGATGCCGCGCAAGAGTCGGTCCAGCCCGTTTCGCCTGAGACATCCTCGCAACTCTGAGCTCTGAGATGCCCTGCGCGAGGTGGTCCGGCCCGTCTCGCCTGAGACATCCTCGCAACTCTGAGCTCCGAGATGCCGTGCGCAAGGTGGTCCGGCTTGTTTCGCACAAGACATTCTCGCAACTCTGAGCTCCCAGATGCCACGCAAGAGGTGGTCCAGCCTGGACCACATGTTACATATCCTCCCTGGGACCCTGGGAGCCCCAGGAGGCGCCAGAGAGCTCCAGGAGGCCGCAGGACGCCCAGGGCAGGCCCCAGGGGTCCCCAGGAGATCCCCAGGAGGCTCCAAGGAGGCCCAAGGAGGCCCCCTTATCAGAACGTGTCAAGTCAATACACATCCGGAGTCGATTCGTTGATTTTTCTTGCTTTTGTGCCCCATTTTGAGGGGCCCAAACGTTTCAAACGGCCACATGTTAGATATCCCCCTCTGGGAGCCCCAACAGGCTTCAGGAAGCCCCAGGTGGAGTCCAGGAGGCCACAGGAGGCCCAGGAGGAAGCCCCAGGAGGTCCCCAGGAGGCCCCAGGAGGCCCCAGGAGGCCCCCGCAACTCGGAGATCTGAGACACCGCGCTCGAGGTGGTCCGGCCCGTTTCGCCTCAGACTTCCTCGCAGCACGTTTCGCCCGAGACATCGTCGCAACTCTGGCGTCCGAGATGCCGCGCGCGAGGTGGTCCAGCCCGTTACGCTGGAGACATCCTCACAACTCTGGGCTCCGAGGTGCCGTTCGGGATGATGAGGAGGTGGTGGAGGAGGAGGAGGAGGAGGATGAGGAGGAGGAGGAGGAGGAGAAGGAGAAGGAGAAGGAGAAGGAGAAGGAGATGGAAGGGAGAAGGAGGAGGAGGAGGATGTGGATGAGGGAGCAGGCAGGAGGAGGGGGAGGAGGAGGATGAGGAGGAGGAGGAGGAGGGAGAAGGAAGGGAGTTGCAGGAGAGGACCTAACGGGAAGCGAGTGTGACGTGGACTTGTCAGAACGTGTGCGAGAGGTTGTCCGGCCCGGTTCGTTTGAGACATCCTTCCAAAACTGAGCTCCATGATGTCGCTCTCGAGGTGGTCCGGCCCGTTTCGCTTGAGCCATCCTCACAATGCGAAGCTCGAAAATGTTGCGCGCGAGATGGTCTGGCCCGTTCTGTCTGAGACGTCTCGTACCACAGGGGCTCCGATCACAACCTCTCTCATTTCTTCTCCCGCCTCCCTCTTCCCGCTTCCCGCCTGGCTCCTCTTCCCTCCTCCCTCCTTCCGCCTCCCGCCTCCCGCTGCTGCGCCTCTGCCTCCGCCTCCCCGTCCCCGCCGTCGTCGTTTCTGCCGCCTCAGCATCCGTCATGCGCGCCCTGCCTTCCGCCCTCCCCAGACATCCGACGTCACGATGTTTCTTTTGAGACGTGCGCCGCGTACCTCTCGATATCATCCCTGGGAGAACCATCACGACATGCCCCCCCGCTTCCGCGCCCTCCCCCGCTTCATCTTACAGCTGCTTCCGAGTTCACAGCATGGCGGTGGAGCCTCTCACAGTGCCGACCCGACAGCTTATTCGTCGACCAGGTGCGAGAGAGTACGACGTCCTCTAGCGTTAGCTTCCTGATAGGCATGCGTCACATAAGTTTTCGTGTAAACATATCATGTGCAAGCATTATGTTGTCATGTTCTAACATTCCATGCCAGCCCTCACTGGACAGGCACGCAATCGACCTTGGAAACCGCAGTGGGTTAAACAATCCTGTTTGGGGAGACTGCACTCTGGCTATATATTTTGTTGATCTCTCTCATATTTATGTATATAAACCACATATATATATATAGGCGTTGCACGCTTCGCCCCGGTTTGGAGATTTTGGGCCTGGTCTGAGTCCACCGGGCAAACGGCAGACATCACTGTTCTAGGTCGGTGGTTGTTTGCCAACAAATGGCACGCACAGGTGGTTCGACTTCATCTGATGATGTTGGACTTGCTCGGAAGCTACCAGGCAACTGGTAGAAATCACTGTTCTGTGTCGGTCGCTGTCTGCAAACAGATGGCGTGCAGAGGTTGCCCGACCAAATTAGGTGATTGCTGGTCCGCTTGGAATCATACCAGCACCGCGCAGAAGCCACAGTTCCAGGCCGAGCGACGTGTGCCAAGGGATGGAGTGCACACGGTGGCCGGGCTCACCCGGTGATTTCGGGTCCGTTCGGAGCCCATCGAGCAATCGACAGACATCTATGTGCTTGGCGTCGTTTGCCACGCCACGAGGAGGAGGAGGAGGAGGAGGAGGAGGAGGAGGAGGAGCTTCTGCTCCTGCCGTGCTCTCCACTGCTCGGGGTGCCCGCCGCTCGGCCCCGGCGGGGCGCGCCGAGCGGCGGCGCCATCCGCCGTGCAGGGCACGGGCCTCCCCTTCCGGTATTCCTCGTCCTCCTCCCCCCCCTCCTCCCCTCCTCCCCTCCTCCTCCTCCTCCTCCTCTTCCTCCTCCTCCCTCCTCCTCCTCCTCCTCCTCCTCCTCATCATCATCATCATCATCATCATCATCATCATCATCATCATCCTTTTCCTCCCCTTCCATCTGCCGTGTTTTCCAATGTTTGCGCGGGGGGGTCCAGGATTGGGCCTTGCCCTTTTCCACGGTTGGGCTACGGGCACCCGTTCCAGGGCCTTCCCGTTCCAGAGTTGGGACTTCCCCTTCCATTTTCGGATTTCCGGCGCTCAGCCCAAAAAAATCCAGGGTTGGGACACCGACCGTGCGCTTTGGGTTTCTGGGCCCCGCCCAAAAAAAAACGGACGATAACATTGTCCCGACGGAAGGCCCCCAGGGTCCAGCCTCGAGATGGTAGGTCCTACGTCTCTCTACAGGAGGAAGATTCAAAAATAGTCCAAGCATAGTCTCCGAATTTTTCAAATATTGTTTGACTGTTTTTGGGCACGTTTAAAGTCTTTCTTTTATCTTTCGTCCATAATCCGCCTGTAGGGGGACAGGCCCGACCTAATCCTACGCTGTGCAAGATACAGCGTCGCGAATAATTGCGACCAGAACCCTGGACACGACGTTTCCGCTGCATGGTTCGTGATGCTGCAGTTGCTGTCGGCCCGGGGGCTTGCAACGGGCGACGGCGCTCGCTGCGAAAAAGAGCTGCAGCGCCCGGATCTCAGGGCGGCCCGATTCCCGCAGGACCCGGTTGCCTTCCGCCGCCATAGAAGTAGCAAAAACGTCACGAAACATGTGTTTTGGCCCTCCGCGCCGATTTCTTGGATCGGCGCTGGGCCCCTCCCCTCTGGCAGTGCCTTGGGCGCCGCCCCTGGCGCGCTTCCCGCGCCAGGGGGGAGGGGAGCTCCGCGCCGCTCCAAGAAATCCGCGCGGAGCTCCGAAAGTCCATGTTGATGCCATTGTTTGTTTCTCTACACCAGGCACGTGCTGCACAGTGGCATCCGCCGCCGCCGCACCTTTGTGCACGTGCCCGGCCTCGTCGGCGACGGGCAGGTCTCTTACATAGAAATTGATAGGATGTCTTCTTTCAGGTGGTCGCTGATATTGGGCGGAGGGGATGGCTGCAGATGCGCTGGCGCAGGAGAGGAACAGGCAGCGCACCATAAGCAGGCAAAGTCAGATGGAGAAAATCATCTTGTGAGCTTCATCCTCAGGTCCAGGAGCTGCACAGGCTCCAGCGCCACCCGAGCGTCCAGGAGGTCTGGCGGGCTCGCGCCTACGTATCCGCCGGACTTCCCAGGGCCAGCCCATTCGGGTCCAGACGTGCTCGCGTCGTGGAGGGTTCATCGTTTTGAGCTCCGCTCCTTCAAGGACTTCCAGCTTCTGCGCTCTGCACGCGCTCTGGCACACACGTGCAGGGACTTCACGTTCTGAGCGTGCTCCTCTCCTTCTCCGCGCTCCTCTTCCTGTCACCCGTCACCTGCTGTGCCCAATTCGGCCCTGTGCATCCCACGGCTGCCCACGGACGCGGTGAGGATTCTTGTTGCTGCGACACCAATTCTCGTGTCGTGAAAAAGTCGCGGCGGGAGGGTTTTGGGCCGTCTTCGGCCTGGGAGGGCCCTCGCCGGACTTGAGACCGTCAAGGTACGACTCGGGATGAAAAGCTAGCCCAGGGGAAAGTGTCGGGACTTCTTCGGGGTCCGTATGAAGATAATGGCACCTCATCGGATGGCTGGTTCGTGCGATTTGAGATGGCACATGTCTTGGATAGGACCTGAAGATCCCTGGCGTTCTTCTTGGTTTAACATGTCTTGTGTGTGCGTGCGGGCGTGCGGGCGTGTCTGTCCGTGCGTGTGTGAGAGAGAGAGAGAGAGAGACAGGAAAGCTGTGCTGCACAGCAGAAGTTCCTCGTTCGATCGGAGGTCGCCACCGCCACGCAGGAGGGGCACATGGTTGGACATGGTTCCGGTGGGCTTCAGTCTTGCCTGTCCCTCTACACGAGGAATATCCCATAATAGTCAAACATAGTACGGGGACAATTTTGCTGAAGATCTGTTGTGTCTATTTTAGGGCACCATTTGAATCAATGGTACGTGTCGCCCAAAATCCGCCTGTAGGGGGACATGCCCGACCTAAACGTAGGAGTTGGGTATGGATGCAATGTGTGTCTTGGGGTCTCGCGTTGTCCTTGCCACACAATCCAAGGTATGACAGGCTTGCTTCAGGTAGAGCCTCTTTGTAAGCTCCGTGGCCAAGAAGACAGTCAGGGCTTGAATGTTCGTACGTCCGCGCTGTGGTCTTCTGCAGGAAACGATTTGGGAAGTATTACCGACGACCTTGTCGAGCCCTGCTTGGGCCACTTTGCGGTGGTCTTTGAGCTTTCAAGGCTTGTGCTCTGACCCCGTAGGGAGCTTCGTAATTATGCGTACGCGCTTCGGGCAAGGGCACGGCGGGAACGGATTTCAGCCTCAGACGTCAAGTGTTCCCCCTCATCTCCAGATATCTGACGCTGCGTTTCTGTTGCCACTGCGCACGTGGTCTCCAGAACCTTCGCCAGCCTTCGGAGGTCCCAATCCGGGGGAACAACGCATGCGGTTATACCTCACGCAGGGGCGCCCATGGGTAGTATGGGCCGATTCGGTTTTTGCCTATGCTGTCCAAGCCGTGGGGGCTGGGGAGGCTGCAGTTTTGGCAAAGCATCGTTATTCTTGGCGGTTCGCGCATCCCCGCCAGCCCATACAGAAACGATGCCCAGGAGAGCTGCTTGGGCGAGCAGGTTGAAGGACAGCAGGAGGATGACGAGGAGCACGAGGAGGAACAGGAGCAGGAAGGGGACCAGTAGGAGGAGGAGGAGGAGGAGGAGGAGGAGGAGGAGGATGAGGAGGAGGAGGAGGAGGACTTCTTTGGGAGCTCTCTGGGTAGAAAGCCGGATCGCACGCTAGAGCAGAGGCTGGCCACGCAACGGGCGCAGCCGACGGCAATACAGAGCACGGCTTGGGCCCTGTTCCGTGTACGGGCTCAGGGGTCGCACTGTACGAGCGGGATTCTCCGCTGGAGTGAGGCGAAGGACGGGGGCTGGACGAGGCGGGCAGAGGAACCGATTGTGCCGCACGGACTGCAGTTGAGAACGCACCTGGCCACCGAGGTCGCCATACTTCGTCTCGGCATCACCATCGACGCCATGTCGGACTGCCGGTGCCCGCACTGCAGATCACCGGCGGGGCCCGCCCACTCGTGGGTGCATGCGACGCTTGGAGCGCCCGTGCCGCGCACCTCGGCCCACTTTTCAAAGCTACGGGTGCCCAATCTTTGAGGCGTCCCTTTAAAATCTGTTGCCCTCTGCCAGAGCATCGACGAACAAGAAACATCATCGCAACAGGATGGGCGACGGAGTGGCATGCTCTCCCAACGGCACCCTGCCTTGCATTTACTTTGCCTGGGTGAAGCGCTCGCGCTTGCGGCGCTTGCTCTCCTTGTAGCGTATGTCGTCCAAGTGCTGACAGAGATTCAACCCTCTGTTCCATGGACTTGAACACCGCCTTGCCCTGTTGGTGCTCGCCCTTCTCCTGGTCAGAAGCGTCGCTGACAATGGGGCGGCCGTCGACACTTTTGCCGGCCTCTCACTAACACTCATTGACCTGTGTCTCCTCCTTGTCAGTCTGCTTGGGGTGGTCCTCGACCTCAGCTGGAGGCACGATGCAGAAGCCCAAGCGCTCAGCCTCTGCCGCGATGTGTTTGAGGATGTCCAGCTCCTTATTCGTGAGTCTGGACTCCGACGCAGACGGAGACGTCCGCGCTCGTCAGGCGGTGTCGCTGTCCTGCTGGCGTTCTGTTGCCTCGGTGTCGCTGGCAGTTCGGCGTTTCCCCCGGATGTGGTGCCGGTGCGCTTGCCGATTCCCATGACTCAGGAGCGAAAGAAGGACGTACATGTACATGAATCCACGCTGGTTTCGAGAGTACGCATTGCGCAAATGTTCGTATAACGCGGCCGGTCTCGCGGATCGAGGGGCCGTGTTCATGTACATAGCTGGGCGCGTACGTCCTTTGTGGGCTCCCTAATGACTGTGTGCCTTCCGGTGCCGCTGGTCATCTTGCGGTGATCTACCGTGTATAACGTTAGTTAGTGCCCCACGGGCGTTGGTGGGCAAGAGTCTGCGCATGGTGTCGGGGTCCGCCGGCAGGCGCCACACGCCAGGGGGAAGGAGCGAAGGGGGAGGAACGAGGAGGAGGAGCGAGGAAGGGGAGAAGGAGGAGCGAGGAGCGAGGAGGAGGAGGAGGAGAAGGAGGAACGCGGAGGAGGAGGAGGAACGAGGAGGAGGAGGAACGCGGAGGAGGAGGAGGAACGAGGAGGAGGAGCGAGGAACGAGGAGGAGGAGGAGAACAAAGAAGAAGCCTTCGTGGATGTGTTGTTGTGGGGGATTCTTGGGGATGGCTTGGAGCCCGTCGGGGGTCCTCTTGGAACGCCCTCTTGGGGTCCTCTTTGGGGCGCCCTCTTGGAGCCCTCGTGGAGCTGTGTTGGGTTGTCTTGTGACCCTCTTGGGGGTCGTCTGGGGGTCTTGGAGCCTTCTTGGGCCGACCTTGGGTCCCGAGGATCAAACATACAGGGTTCTTCGTAACCCCTTCTTTAAGAGTCGGGCCTGTCCCTCTGCACGGGGAGTATTCAAAAATAGTCAAACAATAGGCTGGGGACGATTTTTTAAGTAATTTGTTGGGCATTTGGGGTGCATGTTGGGGACGACTGTTGTTGTTGCTGTTTCTCATTTTTAGTCCAAAATCCGCCTGTAGGGGGACAGGCCCGACCGAACTTTACTTTCAGAAGCCGCAGCGGTCGTCTCTTCGGGCCACCATGGGACCGTCTTGGGGCTATCATCGGGTTGTCTTGGGGCCATCTTGGGTCCTCTTGGAGCCATCTTGAGGCCCGAAAGAAAATCTTGAGGCCCGAAACGCCCATCGGAAGCGAACTCGCGAGAGGGTCAGCTCCGTTTGTTCTCCATCGGTTTTGGACTAAATTCGGCCTCTTTGGGGCTTCCTTTGGGAGCTCCGTGGCCACTTGGAGCCGCCTTGCGGTGGCCATGAGGCCGTTTGGAGCAGGCTGGACGCTATCGCGAGAAATCTTGGGACATCTTGAGTCATCTTCTGGAACCCGTTTTGGGCTGTCCAGAGCCCTCTTGGAGCCAGATTGGGCACTGTGACACCTCGCGGGGCGGCCCGTCCAGACCCCTGGGCTAGGGTGTAGGGGAGGGCCCCCCGAAGAACGGCCGTCTCGCTCACTCCCACCCGCCCTCCTCCTACGAAAGTAGCAGGTCCCCAAGACTGCCCAAGAGGCCCCCGAGACGCCCAAATAGCGCTCCAAGACGCCGATGATGACCCCAAGACGGCCCAAGAGGCCTCCAAGTGGCCTCCAAGAGGCCTCACAAGATGCCTCACAAGAGGGCCCGAGAGGCCAACATCATCAATTTTACGATGGTCTTGGAAGGATTTTGGCCTCCCGAGTCTCAGCATAGTCAAGAGACCGCCATCGACAAACACCGGGAATCAGTGCACACGCCTGCCAGGTGCGCGACGCCCACCAGGTACGCCGCGCGCGCCAGGGCACCCCCATCCCCCCCGTCCAACACCCATGCAAAATATCGCTGGGCGCCCGCGCATGGTCCAATAGTTTACCGCAACGCGCTCTTTGCATTGGTCTCTGACAGGGATGGTGGGCCCACGCGCAGCGGCCAATATGATGCCCCCCTAGCCCCTGTTTAAGACCAATGTAGAGTGATTTGTTGTCTGACATGGAAGGTTGGAATGGGTGGTTGGCATTGTCTCTGATTTGTCGCTGGCTGGGTGCAAGAGGAGGTGTTTATCAATAGCGGATCTGTCTTCTCCGAAAGGGAAGAAGGGGGTTGGAAGAGGAGACGCGCCGGAACACCGCACGCCCTGAAGCCTATAAACATCTGGTGGGATTCGCTGTCCGCCGCGGCCTGGCGTGCAGGCACGAAGTGGCATTGCGGCGCCATGTGAAGGCGCGGCGTGCATGTTCATGCGTTTGACACTCAGCTCTCTCTCTCTCTCTCTTTCTCGCTTTCACTCTCGCTTTCTCGACAATGGTGTTCATAGTGGCTCTTTCTTTGGAGACGAAAAGGGGCGCGCGCCGAAATCCATTCCAGACGAAATTGAGGTTTTTCTTAAAGTTTCAGTGTGCAGGCGCGCCCTGCCGCGCGGTGGTTCCCAGACGCACCTTAGAGCGTGCTGGCGTATAATGCGAGGCATTCACATTGCACGTTGCGCATGCTATCGCGTGCGAATCACGCATGGCTTGAGCTACTTCGCAGACGCTTTCTGGCGAGGCCCTTCGAGGGCCCTCTCAGGGCCCGCCGGGGTCGCCGAATGCCGCGAGCTTCCAGCAGCCATTGTCGACAGTTGGCAAAAGCAACGTCGCCGAAATTGTCGCCGAAAGAGCCGTCGAAAGGGCCGCCGAGATTGCCGCCGAAGGAGCCGCCGAAAGAGCCGTCGGAAGGGCCGCCAGAATTGCCGCCGAAATTGCCGCCGAAATTGCCGCCGAAATCGCCGCCGAAATTGCCGCCGAAATTGCCGCCGAAATTGCCGCCGAAATTGCCGCCGAAATTCTAAATGGTTCCTCCGAGAAAACACCGAATTTGACCATGGCTGTGACTCTATGCCTGTGTCTGCGGCGTCATCGCGCTTACTGGAACAGCGATTTCGCTTGCGACTGGGCAATGAAAATTTCGGCGGCTGAATTTCGGCGGCGATTTCGGCGGCTGAATTCCGGCGGCTATTTTGGCGGAGTTCGCAATTATTTCGGCGGCAATTTCGGCGGCAATTTCGGCGGCAAGTTCGGCGGCAAGTTCGGTGGCAATTTCGGCGGCAATTTCGGCGGCGATTTCGGCGGCAATTTCGGCGGCAATTTCGGCGGCGATTTCGGCGACGATTTCGGCGGCCCTTTCGGCGGCCCTCCTGGCGGCCCTTTCAAGGACCATTTCGGCGGTTTTGCTTTTGACAGCTGTCGACGAATGCTGCTGGGAGCTCTCGGCGTTCAGCTTCGGTAAAGAGTCGATGTGCGGCGACGCAGACTGACCTGACCTCAGCCCGACGATGATTGTAACATGTGTTATCTTGTGGTTTTGGCGGTGATGATGGCGACGGCCGCGGTAATGTTTGGTTCAACATGGATGCTCGTCAGGGGGCATTACAGGCTGGCCTACGCGCCCAGCACTGCATGCTTTCAAACAAGAAAAAATTGTCGCGCAACTCCTTCGGAATTCGGCGGCTATTTGGGGGGCCGTGGTGGCTCCAAAGGGTTGTCCTCGGTGATGGTGTCGGGGGCCTCGCCGTTGAAACCTAACTCTGTCAGGACCCCGGGAGGCAGTCGATATGCTCCCCCAGCGATGGATGTGTATACGCTTTGGCCTCGAACAGACGTACATGGCCCAAGCGCACCTCAGAAAAGACCTAGACTTCAGACATCGTATTCTTGTCAGTGCAGACGTTGTTCCCCTTGAGTTTCCCTTCTGGAGGCTCATTCTGGGCTTCCGGAACAATCAAGAACTACCCAGGATAAGGAAGACAGTCCCCGGGAAATGAACGTGTGGGTGCCCCCCAAGTCACTAACATGTTCCTTTTCCTCTCGAGGGGCTGGCGGATCCTTGACAGGCGCTATTCGCTAAATTATCACCACACCGCCTACAGGGTCGAGCTACCGATGCGCGCGCACTGCAGGGACCTGTACAGCCACCTGGTGGACACGATGGTGTGGGCGGACCAGCTTGTGTGGAAGCGGCTGGCGAGAAACGAGACGGTGTACCCGCAGGCCGAGTACATCGTGTACGATGCCCGGGACGGCGAGCCGGGAACGATCGAGCCGCACGTGGACAACAACTCAGCTGTATCCATGATTGTGCTCCTGTCGGACCCCTCGGAGTTCTCTGGGGGCACGAACTACTTCGACGGCGACGGCGTCCACGGGAACCCTCGCCCATTGCCAGTCCATCTCCTTCTCCCCTCCCCCCTCGGTCCATTGGAAGGAAGGAGGAGGTAGCGGCGGAGGGGAGGAGGTGGAGGAGGAGGAAGTTGGCCTGAAGGACAGGGGCAGGAAGAAGGAGCAGGAGGCTCAGGAGGAGGAGGATGAAAAGAAGAAGAAGAAGACGGAGAGGGAGGAGCGGAAGAGTGAAGGGGGAGGAGTGGACGAGGGAAGGTGGAGGAGCAGGAGGTGGAGGAGGACCAGAGGAAACCCAAGAGTCATCAACGATATTTTAATGGACCCTCCTTCCAAGTTCCCTCGTCTTAGGCCCCTACACGGAGTTGTTCTGACTGAGGAAAGTGCACCGTACCGTTTGAAAATCCTGAGTTGTGCCAGGGCACCGTTCTTGGGACTTCAATGCCGCGAACCACCATTACTGCTGCGTTTGACGATCCTGAGTCGTGCCAGGACACTTTGGGTGGGAGCTCAGCACTACGAATCGATGTCATCGCTGCGCTCTGTCAATCCGACATCGTGCCAAAACACCGTTTGTGGGATGTCAGCCATGGAAACCTTTGAAATTGATGCAAACTATTGAAGCGAACGTGCACAGAGCTAAGGCGAGAACCACATGTTTAAAAGGAGCCGCGTTCATTCCGTGAAGCTGCTGCAGATTTGGAAAACGGATGTGCGCGGCGCTCAGGCGCGAAGTACATTTTAAATAGGAACCGCTCTCTATCCGCGAACCTGCTGCATTTTCGTAAGTCCGGGGTGCGCGGCGTTAAGGCTTAAGGCGAGAGCCACATTTTGAAAATTGCCCGCCCGCTCTCCATCTGTGAAGCCCTTGCAATTTTGATAACGAATGTGCGCGGGCGCGAAGGCGAGAGACACATTTTGAAGCCAGCCCGCCCTCCATCCGTGAAGCTGTTGCAATTTCTGAAGTATCAGGGCTATAAATGGTGAGGATGTCCCGGCCAAATGCCAGGCCCGCCCTTTCGACCGGCTTCGGGGTGTGTCAGGGATGAGTTTATTTTCCGCGCCAGAACGCCATTCTTGGGACTTCAGCAGCGCGAGCGAACGTAACTGTTGCACCCTCAAAATTCCGAATCCTTCCCAAACACAAATTCTGGTACTTTGATCATGGTAATCTGTAAAACTCGCGCACATTCGATTAGGCGCTCAGGCGGGAGCCACAGTTTGAAAAGGAACCGCCCTCAATCCGTGAAGCCCTTGCAATGTTTTAGGTGTGTGTGCGCGGCGCGAAGGCGAGAGCCACATTTTGAAAGTCGGTTTCCCTCAGTCCTTGAAGCTCCTGCAGTTTTTACAACGCATGTGCGCGGCGCTAAGGCGAGAGGCACATTTTGAAAACGGGTCCCCCCCAACCCTTGAAACTCCTGCACATGTTTTAAACGAGTGTGCGCGGCGCAAAGGCGAGAGCTACATTTTGAAAACAGGCCCCCCTCAAGCCGTGAAGCTCTTTCAAATGTTCAAGACGAATGCGCGCGGCGCTAAGGCGAGAGCCGCATCTTGAAAACGACCCGCCCTCCATCTGTGAAGCTGTTGCCAGTTTTGAAATGGTGAGAAAGTCTCCGGCGAAACGCCCGGCCGCCCTAAAAAATTGCCTCGGGGTGCGACAGGGAGAAGATATCTATAAGAGAAAGGATTGGAGGAGGGGGAGGAGGAGGAGGAGGAGAAGGAGGTTGAGGGAGGCGGGAGGGACAGACTAGCTGCGCTAGCGTCGTATCTGACCTGCTACCCCTCCCTCCTATCCCTTACCACGGAGTAGATATCCTGTCTAATTTTTCGCACAGTCGGATGTCGAGCAGGGTAATGATCCCCAGATGGTGCGCGATGGATGGAAAAGTATGGCGTAGAAGAGCACGGCAGAGCATAGCATGTCATAGCATGTCGTGACATTGCCTAGTGACGTATTGCATCACAAAGCATAGCAATACAAAGCACGGCATCGCACAGCGGTGCACAACACAGCATCGCATTGCATGCCGTGGCATGGCACCGGATGATTTGGAGGATAAGTGGCCAGTCTACGAGAGGACAGGGCCTGTCCAGAATGCCAGTTCCATGTCCCCCGCAACCGTGCCTACCCGATGTGGGCGCTTTCGAATGCCAGGTGCCGTCCGGAGGCGCAGGATCGAGGCCAGCGTTGCAGCGGGATCACGATTTTGAATGACCGAATCGCGGGAATGAGGGCGGCGCTGCAGCAGGAGCACCATGTTGGAAGAACAAGAAATGACTGGATTGACAAAACACATAGGACACAAACACCGGACAGCTCGCCCCTTGGCCCAGCACTAGCCCCACACCAGGGGGCGAGCATACATACGGGCGCAGCACCGCACTGGATGCGTAGCCTTCGGCTGACCGCCCGTGCGTGACACATGCTGCTGCTTGGTTACGTCTAGGAAATATCCTCACCGCCCTGGCTTAAAACTTCCAGCGCCATGACCTCACAACCCTCGCTTAAAACTACCAGCGAAATACCCTCACGCCCCTGGTCTCAAGCTGCCAGCGAAATATCCTCACGCCCCTGGCCTAAAACTGTCAGCGAAATATCCTCCCCCCTGGACTTACAACTGTCAGCGAACTATCCTCACCCCCTGACTTAAACCAGCCAGCGAAAAATCCTCACACCCCCTCGCTTACAACTGCCAGCGAAATATGCTCCCCCCCCCCGGCCTAACCAGCGAATATCCGAACAACATTCGCTTAAAACTACCAGCGACATATCCTCACCCCCTGGCCTAAAACTGCCAGAGAAATATAATCAACCCCGTGGCCTAAAACTGCCAGCGAAATCTCCTCACACCCCTCGCTTAAAACTGCCAGCGAAATATCCTCGAACTGCCAGCGAAATATCCTCGCCCCCTGGCCCAAACTGCTTGCGAAAGATCCTCAACCCCCTGGCCTAAAACCGCCAGCGACATATCCTCACCCCCTGACCTAAAACTGCCAGCGAATATCCTCAACACCCTGGCCTAAAACTGCCAGCGAAATTCACTCACACCCCTTACTTAAAACTGTCAATGAAACATCCTCGCTCCCTGGCCTGAAACAGCCAGCGAAATATCCTCAACCCCTTGACTTGACACTGCCAGCGAAATATCCTCACCCCCTTGCCAAAAAATGGCAGCGAAATAGAATCAACCCTTGGCCTAAAACCGCCAGCGAAAATCCTCACCCCATGGCCTAAAACTGCCAGCGACATATCCTCAACCCCCTGGCCTACAGCTGCCAGCGAAATATCCTCACCCCCTGGCCTAAAACTTCCAGTGAAATATCATCAACCCCCTGGCCTAAAACTGCCAGCGAAATATCCTCAACACCCTGGAAAACTGCTAGCGAAAAACCCTCACACCCCTCACTTCAAACTGCCAACGAAATATCCTCACCCCCTGGCCTAAAACTGCCAGCGAAATCTTCTCAACTCCCTGACTGAAAACTGCCAGCGAAATATCCTCAACCCCCTGGCCTAAAACTGCCAGCGAAATATCCTCGACCTCCTTGCCTAAACTGCCAGCGACATATCCTCACCCCCCGAAATAAAACTGCCGTCTAACGTCTTTGGTGATTCAGTTGTTCTGTCAGTTTTGTCAGTCTATTTCCCGAAAATGAAATTACGGGCTGCGCTCGTCAAACAAAACACGAAGTCTTCTGTGCAGAAAACACTACGCGGAGAGGACGGGAGACTCTGGACAGAGCCAGTGGGAGAGAGGACAGTAGGATTCAGATCGTGCAATTGTGGAGGAGGGAGGAGGAGGAGGAGGAGGAGGAGGAGGAGGAGGAGGAGGAGGAGGAGGAGGAGGAGGAGATGGGTGGCCCCCCACGGCGTCGGCGGTTGCAGACGGGTGCCCCCCCCAGGCGCCTGCCCCGGCAGCCGGCCTCTGGACCTGCAGCGCGGGGATGCCGTCCTGTTCCGGGGCGAGAAGCTGATGCACTGGATCTCGTCGGTTCCGGAGCGAGGATCGAGGATCGAATCACCACCCACCAAACCACCCCAACCCAACCCGAAGGCTCAGATTTACCATCGATTTCCAGTGGGGGGGGGGTCGGGAAACATCGAAAAAACACATGTGGAACCCTTACCCCCCCCAACCCGAAATTCGGGTCTTCGGGTTGGGTTGGAGTGGTCTGGTAGGTAGTCATCGAAGTGCCCAGATCTCCGAGGGTGGTGATGTCTCAATCCTGGCGCTGTGCCGCGATCTCTTCCTCCATGGGGCCCGCCATCGGGCCTGGGGACCCCGAGGCACGAGTTTCTGGGGCGAAGCACTGCCCCTCTTCGGAAGAGGCCGGGACTTTTTTTTTGGCCGTGTATCGAAACATGATATCGTATCGGGGGAGCGTAAGACCCGGGTTTGCCAGGTCTCGGGTTCGCCATCGTTTTTTGACGACCGCGCCTCGGATTTTGACGAGGAGGAGTTCCGTGGGATGTCTGCAGCGGGAGGCCTCGTCAAAATGCAGGCTCGGCCTCGTCATTTTTTTGATCGTAGATCGGGCCGGGCGAAAGGGGGGGATTGGGAAAGGAGGGGTTACGAAATCTGCTGCATGCAGCTGGTTTCGGCCTCACCGAGGGGGCCCATTCCTCGATACATGGCCGCCTCCAGGCGCCGGGAGGCGCCGGGAAAATCAGCTACGTGAGCTGATTCTCAACCCCCCCCTTTGCTATCCCCCCCTTTCGCCCGACCCGAGTAGAGTGTCTGGGTTTCTGCTATTCTACGCGTGTGTCGCTTCTTGGGGCCTCTGGGAGGCCTCTCGTCGTCACGGCTGGATCCTCTTAGGAGTTCTGGCCGGAACGCGCTGCAGGATGGGCCTGTGTGGAAATGTTTACCTCCGAGCCGAGAAAACCTCGCATCGTGAGCAAAGCCACGACAGAAGGCATTTGGTTGTTTTTGACTTCATGGGCCCATGTGAACAAATCGCTACGTCGTAGGCCTAGGGCGATCACCAGACGTCGTGATTTGCTGACTCATGGCGGTGATCCTTGAGTTCGGCCTTTCGGGGCCGCGGGCCCGTGTCGGGCCCCGGGCCATCAGGTATCGCTCTGGAAAAGAAATTGCCCCCGCGGAAGGGGTCGAAGCTTGCCTGTGCGCCTGTCGGATGTCTGGGTATTCTTGACTGGGTGTCGCCTGTTTCGGGCCTCGGGGAGGCGTCTTGTCGCCACGGCTGCATTCTGCCCGCCTTGAAAGCCTGGCCACAACGCACCTCGGGAGTGATTTAGGTCGCCACGAAAAGGGAATGGCCTGAGGGAGCCGGATCCTTGTTTATTTCTCATTTTTCGGTTTCCGGGGGCCTCTCCCAGGCTCCGTGGCGGTCGATCAAAACGAGTAGGGAAGAGATAGCGGTACTCGGGGCAATTGGTGTGGGTCAGTCACCCAATTTCTTTGGGACCCTTTGCCCTCCACGGCAAGGTGACGGGCGGGGTGCGCGTGATCCTGCAGATCGAGTTGTGTCGGGTGTGAGCTGTTCTGGATCGCGGCGGCGAGTAAAACATCATCATTCGCATCATCACGCCACCCCCTCAGAGCCATCCGCACCCTCATCTTCCGAATCCCGTCGTGTCGTCCTCGTCTACTCCATCCGACTTCTCTTCGTCTTGCCTCCCCTCGTCTCCTCCGCTTGCACGGGCGTCGTCTAGAGCAGTTCGGTTTAGCTTGCGAGGGTGCAACGCTGCTGCATGACCTGCCACACTGGCTAGCCGCAGCAGATGTGAGTGCAGGGGGTCCACCAATCAAGCATGCATGCCGCACCAGCGGCACAGGGCCACATGACGAGCTCGACTGTGGCTTGTACCTCTAGTGGGCTTCCGCGTTGACACATTCACGCGATTCCTCACCCAGCATTGTGCCTGGCAAGTCTCAATGTTTTCATTATGACACAGTGCGTTTTGTTGCCAAGAGGCTTTCCAGGATTCCTTTGATGCAGTCTCGATGGTCGCCCGACACTGGACACAGTGATGGGCGGGCCTTCATCCCACGGTCAGCATCTAGGCGTCCGACGTTGGTCTCCACTCTTTGTCTTCGTTCTTTCTTCCGAGTCTCCACTCCGATACCCGTCGGCCGTTGAAAGTAGGTCAGTCAGTCAGTGGAGCCGCGCCGCACGGCGCATCGGCTAGACAGCACAGGGCTAATTAGATCAGTTCTGGTGCACAAGCTCTCAGAAAACATACGCCTGGGCAACGCTTCTCCACCGAGCCCTGGTGGAGGACGGCCCGAGCTCGGTGTGCATGGACGTGCCGGAAGTCGCGCACGCTAGCGACGCACGCATTACGCGCGCCCATATCAATCTGGGGCGGCCTCTTGTTCTTCTCCCGTGTAAGATGGGCGGATGAAGGATCGCAGGTGAAACAGTGCATCACGACCTGCTGAGTCTCGTGGCATGCCACCGAGCTTCCCAAACAAGTCGAACTGCTTCATGATATTATGGCTGCTCAAAGGGTGCTGCCCTGCTTGTTGCCGCACGCTGTCGTTGGATACGTGGGAGATTATCGAATGTGGGATCTTCAACATCTTGCGAAGGCACTGGGCATGAAATGCATCAAGTTGATCCCTCTCTGCTGTCCGCAGACACAAGGCCTCGATGCTGTACGTGAGCTTGGAAATCACGCACGCGTTGAACAAAATGATATTTCTGCTCCGACTGATGTTTGCGTGTCCCCATACCGGGCATAGTTTATCAAGGGTTCCCCCTGGCCTCCCCTAGGCTGCGCGCCGGAGACGCGCCCGCGTTGCAGTCAGCGTTCAAAAGGTCTCCAAGATATAGAGCTGAACTCGTAGTCTTGACCGGGTCCCCAGTGGATGTGAGCACTGGCGAGGCATGCCGAATTTGTAAGTGCACAGTTCTCCCCCAGTTGGACTCTAGACCGTATCTCCACGCATTGTGAATGAGAGTGCGTAAGAAAAAATGCAAGCGAGGGATGTCATTAAATATCAGGGCGGCGTCGTCTGCATACGCTACGTCTAGGCACGTTATCCCTTCAACAAGTGGGCCACACTCTCGCGCCACCACCACTTCGACATCCGCGAGCAAAACGGTCAACATCATGCTGAGCAGATACGAACTCAGGGGGCACCCTTGCGCGATGCCGGATTGTTGGCCGAAAGCGCCATCAAAAGTCCGGTTGTCGTAGATAATTTGCAACGGTATCGATATATTCATCCGGAATGCCGAACCGGGACGAGACGATGACCAAAGCAGCCGCGTCAGTCTATTCGATCAAACGATTTTGAGCAGTCAAGCATTGACACGGATAGACAGCCTTTCTTGGTCGACCACGTTTTCTCTATCAACCTCTGCACATGAAAATTCGCATCGTTGGCTCCACGGCTTCTTCTGAAACCGAACTGCGTTGGCCGCAAGCGTTCCTCAACTCCTCCCTCTACCATGCGGTGCAAGACGAGTGTGGCGATGCTCTTGTATGCGATCGACAACAGAGAAATTGGCCAGTAGTTCTCTGGAAGAGACACGTCGTCTTTCTTGAACACACTGGATACGCTGAAATGCCTCCACTGCCTTGGAACGTTCTTATCCCTCCAGCGAACGAACGGTACGAATATTGAGCAGAACATCGCAAGCATTTGCGTCAGATCGTAGTGCTTTCCAGAGGTCCAGGGGGACGCCGTCAGGTCCCGCAGCCTTCCCTGCCCCCAGTTTTGTCATTGTTGTAGAGGGAATACTGAACACCCTCCCCCCCAGACTCAAAGTTGGCACGCGCGGGGGAGACTGAGGTCGAGGTGCAACTCATCAGACCCGCCGCCAACTTTGAACATTGGGGGGAGGGGGAGGCGTTGACAGATGAATGTGGCATGAGTGTTCGCTATTTTTTTCCGAGGCCTGTGCTGGTGACAGTTCTTCGCTGGAGAAATCGCCGGTCTCCAGAGGCAGCACAGGGCCAAATTTGCCCCCGTGCGGAAGAGCTCTGCCAAGTGGCGGACGTTTCCATTTCACCGTGGCGTAATGTTTCGCCATGGTTTCGGCGCGCCCATTGCTCTCCACAAGATGCCCGCTCGCGTCTCTGAGCCGCCCTTGTCGCAAGAAACCTCTCCGTTTGAATTGCCTCAAACTCATCCAATCCCAGCTGACAACATGTCGTTCAGCCATACTTCCCTGTCCTTCTTCGCAGACGCTTTGATCTGCCGCGACATCTATCAATTTGGCCAGCCACGCGTGCTTGGTTGCGTTGTTCTATCAGACTCAAGGTGCACCGTCGTATCCATGGCCGGTTTGTTCGCACAGGACGCCGGCCAAGACAGAGATTAGCCGCCGCAGCCATACTGGAAGACCCTGGCAGCCACTTCGTCAGCAGTTTCTGCGCCAATAGCCTCATTGTCGCCAGCGTGGCGCAAGAACTCTGATACGAAGGGTTTCAGCACGTCTCAGCCACGCGCAGAGGGGGGTGGGGGGAGGGGGGAGGGCTTCTTCGAACAACCCCTTCTTCTTAGAAGGCGTGGCCTTCTCTATAGATGTAAGGCTGGCGCCTTCTAAGAAGCAGCCTCCTTCTAAGAAGCCCGCCCCCCTCCCTCCACCCCCTCGTGCGCACTGCCAAACGTCTTCTTGCCTGAGCGATACCAGATCCGGGGCGAGCCGAGTGGGTTTTGGGGAGGTCTTCGGGATCTCTCCACGGCGAGCCGAGCAGTGGCGTGGAAGTGGCGAGAAGAGAAGCCTGTCGACCGCTCCGCTCTGACCTCTTGAACCGTGTCCTTCCACTTACGAAGGTTGATAGACCTCCTGCCCTGACACGTCGATTGGCGAATTGGCCGTTTTCCGTTCGCGAGAGGGCGTCGCGGCCGTTATTTTTGCGGGTCCAGGTCCGTCGGTTTCGGTCCCAGGCCGTTTTCATTGAGTGGTGGTTTACTGAGGGGAGGTTTGTCCACCTCCGAAAAATGCTCTCCACCACGAAATGCCCGATCTCGGCGGAATTCTTGCGGCGTGAGCTCCGAGACCAGCGTGGCCCAGTGCATGCTCGCACGCCAGACCAAAACGCGCATTCATGTCACCTGTTACGTAGACAGGTCCATGAGGCTTGGTGCGACAAATAAAATTGCGAAGGTGGCTGTGGAAGTCGTGACGTCATTAAACTCAATGCCAGATTGCGGGCAATACGCGGTAATGATAGGCATGGAGCCGTTTGGGATTCGAAGCGTCAGACTAGCAAGTTCGACTCCTGCACGAAGCTCAGAACAGCGTACCAGGCAGAAGGAGCAACCACGAAGCTCGCTCCTGCGTGCTCGCGGACATTCTCGGTGCCGGCCGACCAAATTATTACATGCCCTTTGTTTCAGAGAAACGGGCTGCGCACACATGTGTCTCCTGCAGGCACAGGACTGCAATCTCTCTCTCCTCCATCGCCTTTCCGAGCTGCTCTAATTTGGTGCAGGCGCTGTCCAGACGCATGCCTTCCACATTCCACCAGCTATGGCCGTGACATTGCAAGGACGCTTTCGTTGAATGTCTCTGAAATGTCCTGCACGCCCCGTTCTCTCAACAAAATGATGGCCAAGACCTGGTGCGTTGTGATCGCGTTGATGGCTACTGCAAGATTGTGAAACATGTGGTGAGACTCCCGGCTCGGAACTGCGCGGTGAAGTACGCAAGAGCGCGCTTGTGTCGCACTTCTCATTAAAAGGGGGGCCCCAGCTTCAAGCTGCCCCCCTCCCCCTCCCCTCCCTTTTTCAAAGGGGGGGGGGGCCTCCGAAGCTTTCCTCCCTTCCCCCCTTTGTAAGCATTTTTTAGCTGGGGGGGCCCAAGCTAAAGAGGGGGGGGGGGGGCTTGGAAGCTACCCGCCCCCTTCCTCCCTTTTCGGGGTCCCGTGTCAGCCCGGGCTCCCCTTTCAAAGGGGGGGGGGGGCTTCCGAAGCTACCCCCTCCCTCCCTTTTGTTTGGATGTTGTAGCTGGGGGGTCCCTTGCTAAAGGGGGGGGGGTCTTGGAAGCAACTCTCCTCCCTCCTTTTCGATGCCTGGGGTCAGCCCGGGTTCCCCTTCTTCTGTGGGTTTTTCCAGCTGGATGGCCCTGGCTGAAGGGGGGTTTCGAAACTATGTTTCTTCTTTGTTTTTCGGCGCTCCGTTGATTTGCGGCGTACTTGCGGTTTTCGACGTCTGTTCGGTTTTCGGCACCTCTTTGGTTTTCTGCGCTCTTTGGGCTTTCGGCGCTTGCTTGGATTTCGGCGCTGCTGTAGTTTTTGGCGCGCCTTTGGTTTTCGGCGCTCATGTGGTTTTCGGCGCTCCTTTCGTTGTCGACGCCTTTTTTTGTTTTCTGCGCACCCTTTTTGGTTTTCGGCGCATCGTTGGTTTTCGCCGCCCTTGTGGGTTCCGGCGCCATTTGGTTTTCGGCGCCCTCTTGGTCTCCGGTGCTTTTTTGGATTTCGGCGGCGCCCCTTTAGTTTGCGGCGCCGTTCTGGTTTGCGTCGCTCTTTGGTTTTCGGGGCCCCTTTGGTTTTGGGCGCCCTTCGACTATCTGCGCGCCT